TATATATATATATATATTAGATGTATCACCTGCTGTGCCGTTTAGAGCAATTTATTTATATGGGAGTGAGAGCACTGAGTGCCAATTGCATGTGGTACTACACACAGAAACCAAAAAATATATACTCAATTAAAATTGTGTAACTAGGAAATACATACTTGTAAATATATAAATATGTGGTATTTGCAAGAACGTCATCGTAAAACATACCTTATCCACGCATGCTAGTAAAATATATAAATTTGTGACTTTTACAAGATCAATATCATATAGTATCCCTTATACGTATAGCTATAACATCCCTGCAAGAATAAGTTCTTAAGTCTCGTCAAGCAACCCCAGTTTTCACCCCAACCCCCCGTCTTAATATATCCATTGACACAAATACACTCTTCATAGCCCATCCGAATATATTCCTATCACAAAGACCACAGTACGTAGCCACCTGGCATACCTATCTACAGATGTGGAGACCAGCCAATCAGAATTGAACATGCATGCGGTTACGGCGCCCGTATGGCCTGTGAGAGTGTGTGTTGCGGTCAGAGATGCCACATCCCACACTTTGAGCGTGGCATCCTCACTGCCGCTCACAATGTGCTTGGTGTCAAACTGGACGCATAATATGGTGTTGGTGTGGCCCCTGTGTAAGTAGGTGTAAAGGTAGGTAGGCATAGGCTGACGATTAGTATGGTGTCGAAGTGGACACACGGTACTGTGGTGGTGTGGCGCTTGTGTAGGTAGGGAGTAGGGAAAATGGGTAGAGATAAGCCAACGATGTGTGAGCAGGTGAAGTGAAGGTATGAGAAAGACGTCAGTGTGCTTGGCAGTAACAATACACACAGCATTATGCTAGTGTGACCCAGCTACAACATCTCAGGCTGACTGTATGACGTAAGTCATACAGTTGTGCTAGTGTGTACCCGATTAAAGAAACTATGCAGTGCCATTGGCCCGATTGTGAGTCAGCATGTCCCCATGTAGGTAGGTAAGCGAATAAGACAGACCTGGTTGTGGGGTTAGCGGGGACGACAACTAATTATACACTATAGCATCGGTATGGGTCTGGTATATATTCATTCGAGTGGCGTAATATATGCGAGTTTGTGTGTGAGTTTTCCTGTTTACTTTGGTGGACTGGTGGGTATGACTGGGGTGTTAATATGAGTCAAGTTGATAGTGCCGTCGATGTCTTGTTTCGCATTATATAATCCTACCACTATCTACGTACAACGCGAGAAAACTCGCTGCACCAGACCAACCATCTGAACGTCTACGCCATACTGTACTTTCACCTCAAACTCAACCCACTCCATAACGCCTAGCAGTGAAACGACCTCAACACGTAACTAAACAGCTGAACGCGCTAATAGTACACACATACACAGTTGTACAGTGACCTTGTGTGATGACATGGCAACCAATCCACGCACTCTCATAAGCCCCGAGTATCTCAGCCATGCACAGGCATGAGGCTACCACACCCCACGCACGCATTCAAGCACAGCTACACCATACGGGCGAGACAGATACCACGCAGATCTCTCGTGAGACATACGGAGACAATATGCTCTGGTGAATATAGTTGACAAGACAGTATACAAAGGAAGGGCTGTGAACAGAAGAAATGAGAGACACACACACCTCAATGTGCGTCTCAGACGCTGCTCCCGCAAGTCAAACACGCGCACACAGTTGTCTAACGACCCGGTGAGAAAGTACCGGCCCTTGTTGTAAGCCATACACGTGACTGCAGACGCCCTGTGCTCGTCAAAGGTGTACAGGCACGTAGCTGCGCTGTGTACACGCGTGGGTGTTGTGACATGGCTGGATGGGTTTGGGGGAGGAAGCACCACACTCCACAGGCGCACGGTACCGTCCCAAGAGCCTGTGTAGATATGGGAATGGTTAGGGTCTCGTATATAGATATGGAGTTAATTTCATATATATATGGATATGGGGTTGGTTTCATATATATATATATATATATATATATATATGAAAGGTCTATGGATATGGTATATATTGAGGCAGATAGGAGTGTTAATGATATAGCTTGCAGACAGATTTAGTATATACTAATGGGCCGGATTTTTCTTCTACATCTCTGAATTGCCAGGATATATATGTTAAAGGAAGGCTCTCATTGCGCCTATCAATGCAAATCCGTTGTGAAACATGGTGAATACAAGTAGCTTTTATACACAACACATACGACAAAGAAAAGGATGTGCCGACGCGTTAGGTTTAATTTGACATGCGACCATACTGGGTCTCGCAACATATTTGCGCTTCGTATCTTCAGGTCTGACCAAAATACTAAAGCAAGTCATTGGTATTTTATTTGTCAGTGCGCGTAGAAACCACTACTATGTTGATGCATCTCTCACACACATATGCAAGATAAAGATTGTATTTCTCTCGTACGGAGACACAGCTGAATATAAAAACAAATACATGATGATCACCTTGATCTGTTGAGATGTGGGTCTGTAACAACATGTGTAACAAGCCTGTAACAACATGTGTGCGTACAGTGTACATGATCGAATTGCATCCCACTCTCTCTCCTGTGTATCAAAATACATGAATATGAAATAGTGTATATTAGAGATATAAACTATGGACAACCGACACACAACACGGAATGGTAACCATGACAACGTGCGTCCTGTATAATCACATAGTTAGCTGGACAGTAGCACACGGTCAGACGCCAGATACACGAACACCTTTTACTCTCGAGTATATCGCAAAAATAGAATAATCTGTGCATTCTGAGCATGTACACAATCGATACATCTTGCATTATGGTCACGTACCCAACACTATACACTACCTGTTAGCACGAGCGTACAGCGTGTTTCCGGTGTTGGTTGGGTTGTATCATACGGATATATAGGTGTGTGTGCGTGTTGTTGGGCCGCCTGGTGTAGACCTGTCGTACGTATTGACAAAAAGGACGAAGAGCCACATCAGAAATAGACACTGTATGGTATCTATATATCAAGATATATATATGTGTGTGTGTGTGTGTGTGTGTGTGTGTATATATATATGGTGTCCTCTGAGGTGGCATAGCGCCGTCCTGTTGGGGTAAGCAGTGATTTGGTAGGCGTATACTACCAATCATGATATGCAAAATAGAATCAAAGAAGTGCCATCCGGGATGTCATGTACTCTCATGTCATGAGCAACCATGTGCGGCTATATGTAGCAGTGTGGTGTCAGCTATATCCTCTATATATATATATATATATATATATAGTCGACCAACAAACTAACCAACAACACCACCTACCCATAGACGACAACACAGACACACCACCGTCCCGACCCAACAAC